CCTTTGTCTTCTTTTTGGATTAATCCAGTTCTTTTCTAGGATCCTGCTAGAAAACCGTGTCCCATTTGGTTGATGGGATCTTGTAGTCCACCCAGCCACTCACCCCTCTGGCTGAAAACAGGATGCATAGAAGCTACCTCTTACTGCCTTGTCTTGCAGGTTCTTGTTTAGAGAAAAAAAAATGCTTTGGCAGGGTGAGGGTCTCCCTCTGGTTCCTTTCTCTCCCTAGATTGTATGCTATCCAAGTGTTTTGCATCATTCTGTAGGGCATTTAGGAGGGGGGGGCATCTGATGTGTGTGTGTGTGTGTGTGTGTGGGGACAGCCATCTCTTCCTGAAGGCACGTCTAGTAATCATTACTTCTGGTCCCCCAAAGTCTGTTACTGCAACCTGCAAGTCTCCATCTACACTCTTCACAAGAGAAACAAGGAAGATATTAGGACCTGGATGGAAGCCGAGTGCCCGTCAATCTGTGGACTCCCTTGCACTGCAAGTCCCTGTGGCTCCCGTTGGAGTCTGCCAGGCCAGCAGAAGGACTGAGCCCAAGAGTGTGCTGGAGGGGCAAGGCAAAGAGTGATACAAATCCCTGTGGTGAAGGCGGGGTCAGGGGGGCAGTGGGAAGTGCCCAGAGAACCTGGAGGCAGGTTGGGAGAAGGAGCCTTGTGGGTGGTGGACATTTGAAGCCAGTTGCAGGTTTTAAAACCCAGGTGAGGGGGACGTGAAGATACCTGTGTTTTGGAAAAGTGAGTTTGATGCAGTAAAGACAGGAGGTTGTGGAGGGCGTATCCGGACGGCCAAGAGGCCTGTGTTGGGGGCTCCTGGGTTGCTGGGCTTCACACACGGACAATCTGGGGGCTTCCCATGTGCGTGGAGTCTTACTCTTCTGAATAAAAATATTAGATCAGTTAAATCCCATCTACGATTAATCATGGTTTTGCAAGCAGTGATTCATAGAACAGTGAAAAGATTTATAATTTCAAAATTCAGGTTTACATTGTTAAAGATACAGGCTTTGTGCTTTTCATTCTGCACTGCAGCAACCTAGGCCCCCAGACTGACGTGGACTTACTGAATGGGGCAGACTTTGTGCGGTCCAGGCAAAGACAGTAAGGCCTACAGGGGTGGTGGGACGTGGAGGAAGGGCTGGTCAGTCGTGATTTCTCAGGTAGCTGTGGCAAGGCCTCGTGCCCAGTGTGTGTGTGTGTGTGTGGCCTCAGGTGTAGCCCTGGCTCTCGCAGCAAGGTGGAGTGTGAAAGGAGATGCCAGGTAGGTGGGGGCGGCAGAGGTGCGGAGGGTCAGGCAGAGGGAGCTGCTCTGAGTTTGGCTTGTTGAGGCTGTGTCTGGGAGCTGTGCCAGGATCTTCATGAGACGGCCCCGCAGGGGCAGCCAAGAGAGCAGGCAGAGAAGAGGTGGGAAAACAGGAGTCAGAAGGTGCCGACCTCACGCGGGGCCACATTGGGCAGCCCTGGGGGATCTGGACCCAGAATGGACAGGAGCCTGGGTGGAGCCAAGGCCATGGCCTTTATTGGGGTTTCCCTGTGAAGGGCACGGCTGGGCAGGGTGAGCAGCAGAGGGACAACGGGGATAATCTCGATGCCTCTGAGCTGTACGGGGCAGGCCCCGCTTGCCTGGCCCCAGCTGCGGGATGCTGAAGGCAGGAGCACACGGTCCCCTGGCGAGTGCGGCCCTGGAGGGCAACCTGCAGGTCACAGGCGTGCTCCCGGGGACCCTGTGTTGTCGCTAGAGTTGGCTGCCCAGGAGGGGCAGTCTTTCCCCAACCAGAAAGATTTTTAAAGCTGTCAAAACATAAAATGCAAAAAATTAAAAATATGTATGAGACAGAGACATCTGGGGACATGTCCAGTGTTCACCCAGGAGGGGACTGGACACTGGGGAAGTGGTTTATAAGTCATTAAATTTTCTGGGGTGGAGGGGCATCCTCAGTCTGCCAGGCAGGAGGTAGGGATGTGTTGGCCTAAGGGAGCCAAGGTGAGTGAGAGCGCTGGGGGCCTGTCGGTCTCAGGCTGGGGTGGCGGTGGGAGTCCCAGGGGAAGTGAGAGGAGGCAGCAGGTTCTGAGATGCAGGCGCGGGACGTCCCTGCTGACTTCGGAGCCCGAGCACAGACTCATGGGGGAGCAGCCTCTCCGGCCCAGGCCCAGGCCCTGGGTGGCCTGCAAGACTGGGGCGGGTTGTGCGGCGGATTCACACAGGGAGCGGATGTGACCCTCTTGTCTGCTTGCAGCTCTGTGGCTGTCACCATGTTCTGGAAGTTTGACTTGAACACCACATCCCACGTTGACAAGCTGCTGGATAAGGAAGACGTGACGCTGCAGGAGTTGTTGGATGGGGATGACATCCTGCAGGAGTGCAAGGCCCAGAACCGGAAGCTGCTGGACTTCCTGTGCCGGCAGCAGTGCATGGAGGAGCTGGTGAACCTTGTCACGCAGGACCCGGCCCTGGACATGGAAGAGAAGGTCCGCTTCAAGTATGTACTGAAGCGCTGAGCGGCCGGAGCTGGGCAGTGCTCCTGGGAGACAGTGGGCAGTGTTTGAGGACGGCCAGAGCCAGGCTTTCTGACAGAGGAGCCGACCTTAAATGATTCCCCCACCTGAGAAGTGAGAAGGCTCTCCGGTGGGGTTTGTTTTTTGTGCTCTCCTGGGTATAGTGTCTCATTCTGGTTAACACAGTGAGTAGCGCTGTGCGGTGGAGGGTTGGGGTGAATATGTGCTGGAAGGAGACTGGTCCCCTGACGGAGAGGCAGACGGGCTGCGTCGGCCTGGCTAGGTGGGGCGGCACCACCAGCAGGAGGCAGGCCCAGCCTGCTGAAGCGGCCAGGGCCCAGGACAGGTGGCATCTGACCGCTCGATGCTTCACTCTGGGGTCTTGGGCCCACAGGAAGTATGCTGTGTCATAGGTGGTACCGACCATTCTCAAAGTTTTTCCTTAAATGTTCCATTTGACAGTTGGCTTGGATGTTAGGAGATAATAGGAGGGACGGAGTGGGGGCTTGAGGGTGAGGACAGAAGAGTGTGAGCAGACAGGGGCCTTGGGTGACACGGAGGATCAAGCAGACCCAGCCTCCGGCTCTGAGGGTGCCACTCTGGGCCAAGCAGGTTCTGGAAAGCGGTGGGGCTGAGGGCTAGTGACTCAGGGAATTGGGGCGGACAGGCTGCTCTCATCTGCTCACGTGTCTCACAGGGGGTCAGTGTGTAGGGCAAAGCCTTAGCATAGGGTTGGCAGACTGTGTCCTGAGGTCACATCCTATTTTGGTGTATCTCTCAAGCTGAGAATGGTTTTACATTTTTAAATGGTTGAAAAAAATCAAAAGAATGATTTTTTGTTAAACATGAAAATGACAGAATTCACAGTTTGTTGTCCACCAGGAAGGTCACGTTGGACACACTCACACTGACCCGTTGGTGATGACAACATGGGCCTTCTAAAATACTCTCTGGCCCTTTGCCAGAAGTCTTTGCTGACTTAGGAAAATAAAGCAGAATAGGGCCACAGTGGGTCAGGACTGCAGTCAGGGCGGCCTGCTGCCTGCTGGGGAGGAGAGCCCGGGAAGAGGCGGGCCAGGCTCTGGGAGGAGCCAGGCTTGGGGCCGTGGTGACCCTCTGTGATGGGTCAGAGGCTGTCGCCTGTGGGGTGCCCTGCCAGCCTCTCTTGTCTCAGCATCACCTTTGATGGCCCCTATTCCTTTCGGTCTCTCACCCTCAGGTGTGTCCTGCCTGGTGACCAGTTCAAGGGTCTCCCTGTCTAGACTAGGGTCTGGTGGCTGCTCTCGGGGAGGGGAGCTGGGGCTGCATGTTGTGGTTCTGGGCAGAGGGAGCGTCGTGCAGTCTGGCAGCGAGGAGGGTTAGACAGCCCGGGTGTGGGCAATGCTGGCAGGCAGTTGGTGCAAGCCAAGCACACGTGGTGGTGAGGAGACCGTTGCTGGAGAAGGACGCGCGTAAGCAGGCAGACGCAGCAGTGCCCGCGTGTTCACGCAAGGGCAGCACTGGTGTGGGTTGGTCTGAACGCTGTGGCATGATTCTATGGAGAGAGCGGGAATGAGCAGCAGGGTGCAGGGGCAGCTGGCGTGAGGGAGACCTCATCATCCCCCTGGGGACGCCAGTCTGTGGTGTCTGATACTGCTGAGTGAGGCAGCACGTGTGTGTTTTACCCAGAAACATGGTGGTCAGTGGGAGAGAAAGCTGCTGAGGGACTGGTCTCAGGAATGTGACTTGGGAGTGAAAAGGGGCCTCTTCCTCACCAGCCCTGTACATATCACCTGTGCAACGAAAGTAAGAATTAAAATATTTTAATTTAGAAATCAATTTACTTTAATTGAAAATTAATTTACTTTTAAGTAAAATTGAATCGGGCATTCCTTTTTGAGAAAAGGAATAATTGGCTGGGTGGAGGGAGGAGGCGGTAGCTGAGGAAGAAGTGGGTCATGGTGACTTTCAGAGATGCAGAGACCAGGAGCGGCCGACCCGGAGGTCAGGTTGTCTCGGCTTTGAGCGGGGGCAGGGGTCTGTGTCAAGCTCTCAGCTCTGGCGGTGGGGTGTGCCGGCCCCCTCTGCCCTGCGCAGGAGCAGCTGTGCTTCAGGGACCAGGACCTGGGCTCCTCCAGCGGCCCTCATGGCTCTGAGGGGAAGCTTTTGCTGGCGGACCTGGTGAGCACCTCAGCTGGTGTGGCTTCACCCTCGGGGCTGCTGGCCATTATGGAGGGACTTCCTCAAAGTGGGGAAGGCGCCCGGGCCACGCAGGTCAGAGGGAAGCTGCCCTGAGTCATTTGAGCTTGGGCAGCACACACAGTTCCCGCTAAAGCCAAGGCTGCTCCCTGCAGGGGAGAACTCTGTGGAGAGTCCTAGACTGGGAACTGGCCACCTGGTCCAGCCCGAGAACCCTAATGATGCTTCTGGCCTTTTTCTTGTGGTTCCTGTACAGTTTGCCTGCTGAGTTCAGGACCGTTTGAGAAACAAGACAAAAGAGCCAGCAGCTGATGCCAAGATCCCACTTGTGTTAACGTATGCAGCGCTGTGGGGGGTGTCGGTTATGGCCCCGTGTGGAGGGCTTCCTCCTCCCAAGTCACAGAGGTAGAGCTGATCGCCTAGTGGGAGCAGTGCTGGGTCAGGGCAGGCCCCCAGGAGGGCCCCACCGGAGAACCCTGCCTGCCCTGCTGAGGGGCGGAGCAGGAAGAGGATGGCTAAGCCCAGCTGCCAGGTGAGCCCTGGGGAGCAGTGGAGTCAGGAAGGGAGGGGCTCTCCACCGTTACAGTTCCCGGGTGCTCCATCCTCGCCTCGCTCTGATCGTTCCCGTGCCCGCCAGGATTTCGTCTTCCTCGTCTGTTTCCTTTCCCTGGTGAGCAGAAGCCTGAGCAGCTTCCTGAGAGGGGTGTGTGGGCGGCAGTTGTGGGGCTCGGGCCTGTCTGAGCGCACGTCCCCTTCCTGCTTGTTCTCATCTCCTCTGGTTTTCAGTCCCGACTGGACTCAGTTCTCCTGTAATTTTGAAGACTCCATAGGTGTCTTCCAGCTCCTAGTTCCAGCCCCGTGGCTGACCAGTCTCACGTAGCTTTCCTCGGGCATTTAGGGCCTTGTCTTACCCTGTTGTTCTGGGATCTCCTGGCAGTGTGACATGTTCCCTGGGTCAGGACAGGGGCCTCTCAGAAACAGCACCCACAACCCAGGAGAGTTTTTTGGTCAAAGAGTTTGGGAGAAATTAGTATAAATAAGTACAAAACTAAGCAAACGAAACGGGGAGGAGGGGCTGGAAGTCTTACTGCACCAGCGCCTCCACCTGCCTCGTGCCCATGGTCTCAGCCAGGCCCCTTGGGAGCTGTGTGTCTGGCTCTCCTCACCCCGCCCGAGGCAAGAGACTTGCAGGCGCACCCAGCCTTCCTCCCACCACCACTCCCTGCCTTCCGAGTTCATCTCCGCCTCAGACAATGCAGAGAGGAAGAAGGCAGACCTGTGTGTTCCGTCAGCCACAAGGAGCCAAACGTCTGCTCCCTGTGCGCACTGTACGCCCTGTCAGAGCAGCTCCTGGTGGTGAGATACCGAGGCAGGTCTCAGTCCCTCCAGCTGGGTGCAGCCTTCGCTAGATAACAGCAGTACCTGGTGGCTCAGCGGGCCACACGCGGACACACGTGAGTGCACGTGCCCGACGTATGCCCACGTGTGTGCCCACATGTATGTGCCCACGTGTGCGTGCGTGCGCACACGTGCTCAGGAGACAGGGTGGGGCCTTTCTGTGTGCTCTGGAAAAGCTTCCCACGCTTTTCTCTGGAGCTTGCATCTCCCTGTTGTCCTGTTGTTTGGAGCCTGGTGGACACCTCCCCGCCCATGTCCTGGGGGCCCTATTTGGCCTTCCGTGTGCACTCTGAGAAGGCTCTCCGGCCTCTGCCCCTGGCGGCTGTGCCCTCTGCCCTGCCGGTCACCGCGGTGCATGTCCATGGTGCAGAGCTGCCCTGTCCAATCCTTGTAACAATCCTGTGAGGTGGGCGCTGGCCACACCTCTGTCTGGGCCTCTGTGTGAAGTTGGCAGGTCCCTCACACCTGGCTGCCCACTCGGCACTGTTTCTCTGAGCTCCAGGAGGCACTTTCTTCTCTGGGCTGAGGAGGAACACCTGTTTCCTCCCCGCCACATGCGGTCGACTGCCCCACTCCACCAGCTGTTTCCTCTAGAGTCTCGCAAACCCAGGCCCCCCAGCTGGTCCGCAGTGACCACCATCATTTGTGCTCGTGCTGGGGTCCGTGTTGGTGGCTCATTGAGGCGACCTTCATCTAGGGCTCACTGTGCTGGGCGCTGGGGGTGTACTCGAACCTCCACGTTCAGATGCGGACGCCCAGACACACAGAGGGCAGGTCATGTGCCCAAGGCTGCACAGCGTGTCCCTGTCGTGCTGGTCTGCCCTGCAGGACGCTCTCCCAGGTTCCTGCCTGCTCGGCGCTGGGTGCGCTCGCCTGTGCCCCCAGATGTGCTGCATGTGGCAGCAGGCATTGTCACTGCTGCGCTGTGGGGCTCTGTCAGGGGCCATACAGGGAGCACAGTGGTACAGGGTTACATGTAACGGGATGAGGGTTACTTAGTATCTGGTCATTTTTATCAAATGAATCATAAATGATTTACATATATTGGTGTTTCTTTTTTTTCTTTTTTTGGTGGGGGGAGGTAATTAGATTTACTTATTTATTTATTCTTAGAGGAATTACGGGGGCTTGAACCCAGGACCTCATGCATACTAGGCATGCGCTCTACCACTTGAGCTATACCTCCCCCCCATATTGGTGTTTCTTAGCAATAACTTGCCTGCAAAACACCTCAGAACTGGGGCTGCCTTGTAAGCTGCTGATGTGGCATCTCATCAGTGTGGGAACAAGCCGGGTCTGTGCTTGGTGCTGTCAGTGCAGGAGGGGCGTGGAGGAGGGAGGACAGAGGACCAGAGAGAGGAGACCCTGGAAGATGAGGAAAGGTCCTGGAGAGGGTGGGGAGAGGGCCAGTACCTATAGGGTGTCAGAGGTCAGGGTGTGAGGAGCCTGGAACAGGTATGATGTGAAAGCTGTCGAGCTCCGGTTAGTCAGAAATGCCAGTTTGTCACAGAATAAGCATTTTCAGTGTGCTCCAAGAATATCTGTGTTCTTGCCCGTGGACCTGCTTCCTAAGAGGCAGATTATTTCAGTAGCTTCCTGACAGTTGGAGAAGTCTAATTTCACCTCCAGTTGCTTGCCCTGTGCCCCTCTAGGTACCCAAACATGGCCTGCGAGCTGCTGACGTGCGACGTGCCACAGATCAATGACCGGCTGGGAGGGGATGAGGCTTTGCTGAACCTTCTTTACAGCTTCTTGGACCGCGAGCCGCCCCTCAATCCTCTGCTCGCCAGTTTTTTCAGCAAGACCATTGGCAATCTAATTGCAAGAAAAACTGAACAGGTGATCGTCTGCCAAGTCCACGTGGTTGGGAGGGCTGGCGTGGATGGTGCTGACACGTCTTGGCGACAGCCGTCGCTCTGTGACCCCTATCATTAGGCTGTGGGGCGCAGAGATCTGACTCTCCTGCGGGACACACGTGGAGCAGGCTGGGCTACTGCTCTGTGAATTAGAATTTGGTTGAGAAAGCGGCTTCCCAAGAGACAGTTCTGCTGACTGGCTCTGGAGTAAGCAGCGCTCCTGCCATCCCCGGGAGCTGCGCAGGGCCCCAGACCAGGGCAGCTTGTGCAGTTGCCGACCCGTCACAGACACACATCATGCCAGGACCTCAGATGCCTCTGCTGCTTCTGTGTAGGTGGCAGGTGTCTGTGTGTCTAGGCCACTTACTGTTTCAAAGCAAATAAAAGGAAACTTGCAGCAGTAGGTTTCTGTAGAGTAGTGTGAATCCAGCTGGAGCACGGTCTTCCTGGAGGCCTCACATCGCCCTGAGCACTGCGTTGAGAAGGCCGTCCTTCCTCGGCTGCTTTGCGGTGTCCCTCATGCCGCAGATGGGCAGTTTGACCTGTGTGTGTCCGTTTCTGTTCTGCTGTCCTGTTTGTGCTCACCAGCGTGGCTTAACCGCTGTAGCTTTATGAGTTTTGACATTTGGCAGAGTTAGGCTTCTCACTTTGTTTTTCTTTAAGATTGGTTTTTACTGTTCCTTGCCTTTGGCATTATTTTAGAAAGAGTGTGTCTCCTCTGCCCCTCAGAAAGCCTGTGGAAAGTCTGATCAGGCTTCGTCGTCGATAGACTGGGGCTGACAGATTGTGGCCCACAGGCCAAAGCTGTCCTGCCACTTGTTTTTGTAAATGAAATTTTACTGAAGCTCAGTTGCTCCCATTTGTTTACACATTGTCTGTGGCTGGTTTTGTCCTATAGCAGAAGCTGAGTAGTTAGGGCCTCTTTAATTTCTCTCAGTGACGTAGTTCTCTGGGTAGTGGTCTTCCATGATTTTCATCGTATTTATTCTTAAGTAGTTGATGTGTTCCTGTTACTCTAAACAGTATCTTTTTATTGAAAAATTTTAGTGAGATAATTATAGGTTCACATGTAGTTGTATGAAATAACACAAAAATATCTTTTGACACCCTGCCCAGTTTCCTTCAACAGTGACATTTCATAAAACACTAGTAAAATATCACAACCATGGTACTGACGTTGGTACAACCCACAGATCCTACTGAGATTTTTCCAGTTTCCCTTGTTGTCATTTGCGTGTGTGAGTATGAAGTTTAGTACAGTTTATTGGGTGTGTGGGTTGGTGTCTCCACCTTCACGGGTAAGATGCTGGACAGCTCCAAAGCCACAAGGCTTTGCCCTTCTGTAACTACTCCCACCTTCTCCCCGCCTCTGTCCCTTCACGCACCCCTAACCCCTGGCAACCACTAATCTGTTTCCATTTCTAAAATTTTGTTATTTCAAAGTGCTAGTTAAATTAAATCTTGTAATATGTAGCCTTTGAGGATTAGCTTTTTTTTCCAGCATAATTTGCTGAAGATTCATCCAAGTTGTTGAGTGTATCAGTAGTATGTTTCCTTTTATTGAAGAGTAGTGTTCCATGAGGTGAGTGGACCACAGTTTGTTCAACCATTCACATATTTGAAGGACAGCTGGGCGGATTCCAGTTTTTGGCAATTATCAATAAAGCTTCTGTTCTAATAATTTATATTCCTTTAAAAATTTATGTATGTACACAAGATCATGTCATCTGTGATTAATGACAGCGCTGTTTTATCTTTTGCAAACCTTATCATCTCTTTTTCTTGCCTTACTGCATTGACTGGGACTTGCAGTGCAGTGTTGCACTGAAGTGGTGGTGGTGGGCCTCTGTGTTTGATTTACTATCTCTGAGGAAAGACTTCCAGTGTTTTACAATGAAGTATGGTGTTTGTTGTCGAGTTTTTATAGATCTTTTAAAATCAAAGAGTAAGAAAATTTTCTTTATTCCTAGTTGTTTTAGTTTATGACAGGAGTGATTGTTGGAATGTGTCAGATGTTTTTACCGTACCTGTTGAGTTCATCATAAGATTTTCCTTCCCCATTCTGTTAATAGGTAGATTCCACTGATTGGTTTTCTGATGTTAAACCAGCCTCGATTTCCTGCAATACAGCCAGCTTGGTTGTGATGTGTTACACGTTCTTTCATGTTGCTTTTTTTTATTTTTAAGAATTTTTCTATCTGTGGTCATCAGTGAGATTGGCTTATAATTTCCCTTTCTCATAATGCCCTTGTTAGGCTTTTGGAATCAAAGTTTTATGTCCTTATACCATGACACAGGGCTTATTCTCTCACCTGACGTGCCCTGGAAGAGTCTGGTATAAGACTGGGGTGATTTTCCTTTGAATGTTTGGTAGCCGTCTTCAGTAAGGCCATTCATTAGAACCTGGAGCTTTCTGTATGGGGAGGCTTTTAATTATAAATTTTGTTTCTTTTGATGCTTCAGAATTCTTTTCTTCTTGTCAGTTTACATAAGTGTGTTTTTCAAGGGAATTTTTCATGTTTCTAAGTGTACATAAGCTGGCGTACACTTGTTCCTGGTGACCTCCGGCTGTGGTCGTGCATCTGTAGGTGTGCAGGGTGTCCGAGGGCCTGCTCTGCTGTGCTTTCAGTCGTCCTCTCCAGGCGCCCCGTTGCTCCTTCCGCACGTCTCTCTCCTCCAGCTTCCTCTTCTTCGCCAGCACTTCTCAGCATGAGAGTGGCCAAGATTCCTTAACTGGGTGGCCCTTCTCAGGGCCGTTGTCCCTGGTGCAGCCTGAGTGTGCCTCAGCACAGCGGCCTGGACACACAGGCACTTCCTCTCTGGGCCAAGCTGAGCTGACCTTGCAGACAAGTGGCCACGGGGGACGCTGCCCCAGCAACTCCACTCCACCTGCACCCAGCCCACCACACCCCCGTGGCTTTGTGCTCAGTCATCCACGTCTTGGCCCTGGTCACCAGCCGGCCATCCATCTGACCACCTCTGCCTCTTCTTTTCCAAAACCTCAGTCCTTACCCTTCAGCTGCCTGTCAGCTCTCTGGGTTTATGTCCCGTGTCCGATGGCTGCCACCCCCGGCTCAGCTCTGTCTGTGCTGGTGGCTTCTGCTGGAAGCACTTGAGCTGCTGCATGTGGACTGGTCGCTGCGCACAGCAGCTTGCGCTCTGACCCTGCTCTTGCGTGCCTGCGCCTGGCCTCCTGCCGACTCCTCTAGCCGGGGGTCCTCTCATAACCTGCGCCCCCGGCTCCCGGGACTCACCTATGTCCGGGCCTCTGCCTGTCCTTGCAGGGCTTTCCTACAACGTCTTCTAGGCCTTCCCATTATTTCTGTCAGTACTGTTGAAAATAAATCTTTCCCATGACAGTCCTTGGGGGTAGTAGCCTCTCCTGGTGGTCAGGGTCTCCCCACTCATTTCTCAGGGGGCATCTGATTTCAGGTGATTGTGTTCTTGAAGAAGAAGGACAAGTTCATCAGCCTGGTGTTGAAGCATATCGGCACCTCCGCCCTCATGGACCTGCTGCTGCGTCTGGTCAGCTGCGTGGAGCCTGCCGGGCTCCGACAGGAGGTCCTGCACGTGAGTGTGTGGCCCTCCCGTGTGTGTGCCGTGTAGGTTCCCTGAGAGTGGGGGTCGGTGCCTGGCACAAGGAGGCCGGAGCCGGGTGAGGGTCCCTCTGGGCAGGTCACTGGGGCTTCTTGTCAAGGTTTGTATCCGAGGTCTGGCGTCCGCACCTTGCCTCTTGTCCTGCCCGGTCCACTCATGAGCCAAGAGCAGCAACGGCTTCCTCGCTTCCACCCCGCGGTGCGCGCCTGGGAGGGGACACTAGCCCATGAGGGTTCCACTCAGAGAAGCTGCAGAGGCCAGAGTTGGCCTGTTGTTTGTCCTGGAGCGTGTGCCTGTCTGTCCTGACAGTAGTCGCCTCCTGAGGGCTTTCCCTGAGAGAGAGAGGATTCTCAGCCCAGAGGAGCCCAGGAAGAGTCAGTGTTGGACAAACTCTTCACGTTGTTTGGCAGGTTTTGTTTGTAATGCAATGTAAGATAGGTAAACTGTTGGGCCTTCTTGCCAGTTTTCTGGCTTCTGGAATCAGGTGGCAGTTGTTATCGAGGTGGCAGTTGTCACTCTTAGGTTCATAGCTCATTTCTCTGTGGACCAGCCTCTGCTATAATTAATCCTCGTAGCAGATGTGCTGCAAGAGCAGCATGGATGTCAGCGTTGTTGAAGTCGGTGGGAAGCCTACGCTGACCCACGCTGAGCAGGTTGGGGCAGACCAGCCCATTCTCAGGCGAGGAAGTACGCTGGCGGGGCTGGGTCTGTGCGGCCCAGGTCAGCCCCTGGACAGCATGAAGCTCTGCAGCCTTCACGGTGCTCCTCCTGGTCTGGGAAGGGCCCAGACACCGCAGGGGCGCAGCTGGGCCTCTGTGTTGCGCCGGGTTGTGCACTGAGAGAGCCCCATCAGTGCGCGGGAGGCTCCAGGCTCCCCTTGTGCTGTCTTGGGAGAGGTCCTGAAAACAGCTGGTTCATGCATGTGTAAGAGTCTGAACCGTCAGGACATGTGGACAGTGACTCCCTCCTTTGTAACCTTTGAGTCACTCTAGAATTCAGTCACTGCTGGTTCTTCCTGGATCTGGGTGGATGCGCAGGCGGGAGCAAGAGTCTCTGTCCCCAGAACTTGGTGGTGGACTTCTGCTGCATTGAAGGACTTCCTTTCCGTTCAGTCAGATGTGAGCAGAGTCACCGACAGGCCCTCTTCCCTTCCAGTGGCTCAATGAGGAGCAGGTCATCCAGAGGCTCGTGGAGCTGGTCCACCCGAGTCAGGACGAAGACGTGAGTGGGGGCTGACGGGGGCGGCGCGCCCTGTATTGCTGTCCTCAGATGAGGACCAGTGAGACACCACTCTTCCTTTAGTTGAGCACTGACTTCTAGACTTTTATTTTTACTAAAAAGTAATGCATACATATTACAAAAAACAGTTCAGACGGAATTGTGTTAGTTTTCTGTGGCTGAGTCACAGATTACCCCAAAGCTGAGTTGCCTGGAGCAGTAAGCTTTTTATGTTAGTTTTTATGGCTCAGGGATCGGGCCCTCTGCCCAGGCTTTCACAAGACTGGGCACCCTGGCTGCCCGGGAAGGGCCTGCCCCCAGGGTCACAGTCACTGGGCAGGACTACGTCCCGTGAGGACTGCTGGCTAAGGCCGCCCTCAGCTCCACACCCTGGGGCTTTGGCTTCTCGTGGAGCAAGCGCCCCTCATGGAAGTGATGGCCCTCACTGGCTGCGTTCTGCTCCCGTGAGTGGCTGGTTCCAGCCTGTACTCACCCGCAAGGAGGCAGCTCCGGAGGAAACCCCCTGTGGCAGAAGCATGCAGGGTGGCTGCGGTGTCACTGTGGAGAGTGTGAGGTATGTCCCGATAGGCCTGTTTCCACAGGTGCCAAAACTGAACACGCCTGCTCTCCTCCGCACTTTTGAGAACGGGGTGCTGACTCCTGTCTGAGCCTTTGCTGCCGTCAGTCCCGCCGGCCCACAGGGCTGGCCAGGTGGCTGGGGGTCTGTACTCCGGGTGGGGAGGAGGGTGCACTACAAGCTGCCTGGTTCCTTCCCAGCCTGGAGGCCAATTTGGATGCTTTCATTGTTCCCTAAAATAGTCACCAGCACTTCCTTCGGCCCAGTGTCCCGTGGGGCTGCTTCCTGCTTAGCTGCCCCTGCGAGGAGACAGGGGCTGAGTTTCTCCCTAAGTTGTATTCATCTGCCCCACAGAATAACCCCCACACTGTTGGCAAATGCTTGGAATCAGAGATTCTAAGTTTTCATGGGGTTAATGCGTCCCTAGAAAAATCTTCTGTTTTCTCTGTAGCAACTCTCATGTCATTAGCTCACAGGACTCATTCTGGATATTAGAGCTACTTGTCAGTTTAAAGACAACCTCAGTAACGTGGGCAGACACGTAGTGTAGCTCAGAAATGTGTCTGAGGGACAGAGCAGTATCTGGCATGTTTGACCGTTGAGGCCCCCTTTGAACTCTGGGGGACAGAGCAGTGGCTAAAACGTGTGGCCAGATCTGCACCCTGACAGTGAAAGGCTGACCAGGTGTCTCTGAAATGAAGCAGCCTGGAGCGAGTCCAGCATCTCAGGGGACTGAGCCGTGGGAATCGCTCTGACTGTGCAGCCTTGGCTGTGTGGACGCTTGTCCGTGGCCCTGAGGGGAGCTGTGTGTCTCCCTGTCTTTTCAGAGGCAGTCCAATGCTTCCCAGACGCTCTGTGACATCATCAGGCTGGGCAGAGAGCAGGGCAGCCAGCTGCACGAGGCTCCAGAGCCAGACCCCCTCCTCACAGCACTGGAGTCGTGAGTGCTGGGCGCGTGCTGGCGGGCCGTGGGGGGACGGCCTCCACGCCTGCTCCAGGCTCCCACAGGCACTGCCGCCTTCGCTGGTTGTTTGTAATGAGCTGGCTGTGAAGGGCTTGTCCTCATCCAGTCACCTGGATGGGCCCCTTCTCACAGGAGGGGTCTCTGGGGGCCTCCTAGCAGGTGCGGAGAGTGCAGGCCAGCCAGGGCAGGGGCGTCCTGAGAGCCTGGGTACCTGGGCCGAGCCCTGAGCAGAACCCCTCTGGGGTGCAAGGCGTTGCCCCGCCATGGGTAGGCCCTGCCCTTTCCAACCTGGTCTGTGCGTCTGCACCAGGAGGTGGTGACCCCATGTGTCCGACAGGCAGGACTGCGTGGAGCAGCTGCTGAAGAACATGTTCGATGGAGACCACACGGAGCTCTGCCTTGTCAGCGGGACGCAGGTGCTGCTCGCCTTGCTGGAGACCCGGCGGGCCGGGTGAGTCTCCCGAGAGGGAGTATGCCACCCGGAGCAGGAGTGACACTTAAGGGACCTGGGGCCCAGAGGGGCGGTCCGTCTGGGCATGCCCTGTCTTCTGATCACTTCCTGATTTTTCAAGTGATCACACAGATGGACTCTCCTTGTTGGAAAGTTGAACTTCACGGCTATGGCCGTGTTCCCTTTGACCTTCACGGTCAACCTGGTTCCCACCTCAGCCCAAAGGCACCGCTGTTGCCAGTTTGGAAAGCGTTTGGACTTGTCTGTGGAGCACACACGGTCAGCTGGCTTCCCCAAGGACTGTCCCAATGAGTCAGCACCCACAGCACCCTTGTAGGCTGTGCGTGTGTGGTGTGGAGGGTGTGTGGCGTGTGCGCTGTCTGCTCTGTTCGCTGTGCTGTGCCACCACCCAGCACGCTCCCCGGGCGGCTGCAGTCCCCGTGTCCATGTCTGGGGGAACTTCACTGTGGCCCCCAGTGCTCACAGCCTGCATTTTTTTTAAAAGAAAGAAAAAAAAACAAACGACGGGAAATTGAGTCAGTCTCAGTGGTGACATGATTAGCAGTCTCTCTCTCTCTGGTGCCCAGTTCATATTTATTAGTTTATTACCTAAAAATGGACTTCTGAGGTTAGTGTCGTTTCCCCATCAGATGCCAGGATACTGCTTTTCATCTCCACGAGCCCAGGGTGCCTGGCCCCTCCCCAGGGCCCTGCCCAGCCTGGGACAGCATGAAAATGAGGAAACAGAGAGGAGCCAGCTGATTTTCTTTGCTTTTTAAAAATCTTTTTATGTATTTAAACATTTTTTTCTACAATGATTGTGTATTACTTTTATATTTGGCAAAGTGTTTCAATAAAAATCTCAGAAAAATTAGCTGGATAAAGCCAAGGGAACAATGTGGGCTGGTTCTGTCTCTGTCACTGAGGAGTGGGGAGGCAGGAAGCGGAACCAGTTCCAGTGAATGTGACGTCCATAGCTGCTGGGCTGGCCCCCGGGCATGGCCCCCATACGATCAGGGGCCTTCCTGGAGACGTGAGTGGACACGTTTGTGGGCGTCCCCGTGTCTCCACCTGCCTTCTCGTCCACAGGACAGAGGGCTTGGTGGACGCTTGCTCTCAGGGACTGGACAGGCCGTGCACCGTCAGCAGCGGCATCCTGCATGGCATTGAGCCGCGGCTGAAGGACTTCCACCAGCTTCTGCTCAGCCCGCCAAAGGTAGGTAACTTTGAGCAGAGGCTGGGGCTGTGGAGACGACGTGGGCTGGGTCACTTGTAATCGGAGGACTCCACACATCATCCAGCCAGGGTGGGTGCACTCAGACGCTGCTGTCCCCAGACCCCAACTGAGAACCATAGACAGGTGCCAGAGGCATGTTTCAGACCCCATGTGCCGTGTCCATCTCGTCTTAGGTGAGGCCTGGGACTTGGACGTTTTGCTGCCCCCCAGATGGCTCCTGCATTCTCAAATGCGGAGTTGTCTGAGGACCCGAGTTCATTGTAGGCCTGGCCTCTGAGCTGGGGACACCTAGCCTAGGCTCAGGGATCCTGGGGGAGACCCTTTGTTCAGCTGGGCAGCTCTGGGCAGTGAGTGGTGATGTTGAGGATAACTCACTCCTCCACCACCTCAGTCCCTCTGAGCAGCCTAGGGTTCCCGCCCCTCTCAGCTGATGGCCCCTTCCCTTCCCTCTAGTGCTTCTCCTTGGCATGCACCACGGTCTGCCGTGCTGTTTATCATGTTTACCAGCTTGCTTCTGGTCTGCCCCCCACTGGAAAGGAAGCTTCATGAAGGCAGGGATTCTGGAACATTCTGTTAATGAAAAGATGGATGCACTGAGTTGCATGTGCGGTTCACCCTGTCCTACAGGCCAGCTTTGTCATCAGTCTCCTCTGAGTATGTCAGCTCATTGTCTTGAGACTGTGTCCCAGAGAGTGCTGCCCCATGTTGGTTGCATCTTGTATGCCGAGGCCACCTCCCTTGGGCTGGCCACCTGAGACCAGGGTGCCCTGGGCTCCCGGGAGCAGAGGTCCAGCCTTGGTCACTCTTTTGTGAGCCCTGAGGGGAGCGGTGGGGTTTTTAACCCTGCTGCCCCTCATTTCCTCCTGCAGGCAGCGCTGCCTTGAGGACCCCCTCCAGCTGGGCCACGTCATGCAGCTGCAGCCCTGGCCCTTTGACACTTGGCACCTGAGCTAAGAGAAGCCCACGGTGGTCACAAGGCTCCAACTGGGCGGGGCTTCTGTGTTTGCAGAAAAAAGCGATCCTGACCACCATCGGCGTGCTGGAGGAGCCCCTGGGCAGCGCCCGTCTGCACAGCGCCCGCCTCGTGGCTGCACTGCTGCACACAAACACGCCCAGCATCAACCAGGAGCTCTGCCGGCTCAACACCATGGGCTTACTGCTGGTGAGCGGCACCGCTGCCCCCGTGCCTGCCCGTGCATCCTCCGTGGGCTGCAGCGGGGTGGGGGGCAGGCAGCTGGACCTCAGCCCCTGGGCAAGGGGCTGCCTAAAAGGGGACCCTGGTTTGGTCCTGGACCAGGCACAGTCCGTGCAGAGAGACTGTCTCCTGCCCCCAAGGCTTGACGTGAGAGCCCAGGTCTGATTCCCCCGTTTGAGGGGATGAAGCCCATCTCCTTTCTGATTCCTGCCTTGAGAGAGAACTCCGTAGCTCTTCAGCACAGAACAGCCCAGGAGAGCAGCTCCTCAAGTGCACAGCACGGCAACGCCGGCGAGCTGCCCCCATGGGGCCTCGCCTGAAGTGTGCTCAGTGCAGATCCATCCTCAGGGTCCTCCTCGGCCTTGCCCTTGGGTCTCTGCTCCCAGGAAGCTGAAATCACTTTACATTTAAATCTCAGTCCCTGAAGGAGCCAGCCTTGGAGCTGGGCCTTAGGTGCTGATGCCGCGGGAGCCCTCCCAGCACTGGGGAGGCGGCGGGGCTCAGCTCTTGACTGCAGAACCATGTGTGGGTCAGAGGGCCATCATAAGACCTCATTTCCTGTCCTCTCCTCAAAGAAAATTTTCTCTCTCCCACTCCCCCTTTTCACTTTTATTTTACTGTGGCAAAATATACGCAACGTAAAGGTTAACATTTTAGTAACCTTTAAGCGTGCAGCTCAGTGGCGTTAAGTGCATTCGTTGTTGTGTAGCTACCACCACGATCCATTTCCGGGACTTTCTCATCTTCCCATACTCTTTTAAACACACTTCCCATGCCCCGCCCCCGGCCCCTGGCCTTCTGTTTTCCGTCTCTGAATTTGACTCCTCCGAATGCCTGTGTTGGTGGGCTCATACAGTGTGTGTCCTCTTGTGTCTGGCTCATTTCACTGAGCATCATGTCCTCCAGGTTCATCGGTGGCGTAGCGCCCGCTGTACTTCCCTTCCTTTTGAGGCTGAATGGAATTTCACAGTGTGGATATAGTACACTGTGTTTATCCATTCATGCGTTGGTGGACACTCGGGTTGCTTCTGCATTTTGGCTGTTTTTACTAACGCGTCTATAAACATGGATGCGCAAACGTGTGCTAGAGCCCCGGCGTTCACTTGTTCTGAGTATATACCTAGAGGTGAGATTGATGGGTCAGGTAGTAGTTCTGTGTTCAACTCTTTGAGGTGCCCACAAACTGTTGTCCACGGTGGATACCCTGTTTCACATTCTTACCAGCAGTCTATGAGGGTTCCAGCTTTTCCACTTTCCTCCAACTACAGTTTCCATTTTTTTTGATAATACCATCTTAATGGGTGTGAGGTGGTATCTCATTGTGTCTTGACTTGTGTTTGCCTGATGATTAGTGATGTTGAGCACCTTTTCCTGGGCTTTGTACATCGTCTTTGGAGAACTGTCTGTTACAGTCCTTTGCCCTTTTTGAATTGGGTGTGTTTGATTTTGGTTGTTGAATTGAAGGAATTCTTTATATATTCTAGATGTTAAACTCTTAGATATTTGATGTGCAAACATTTCCTCCCATTCTGTGAGTTATCTTTTTATTGTCTTGATAGTGTTCTTTGATACACAAAAGTATTAAATTTTGATAAAGTCCAAGTTATCTATTTTTTTCTTTTATTGCTTGTACACTTGATTCCATACCCAAGAAATCATTGCCAAATCCACTGTTATGAAGCTTTTCCTGTTTTCTTCTATGAGTTTTATAGTTTTACGTCTACCAAGTCTTTGATCCATTTTGGGTTCATATATATATGTAGTGTAAGGTAAGGGTCCAGCTTCATTCTTTTGCATGTGGATGTCCAGTTTTCACAGCACAATTTGTCTTCTTTTGTTTTTTATATAAGTTTCACGTGTACATTGTATTTCTACTTCTGTATACCCTACAGTCAACTACTGGAAATTTAGTTTACGTCCGTCACTATGCAGCTGATCTCTTTTACCCATTTCATCCTCCCCCCGCCACCCCACCACCCCTTACCACTGGTCGTCACTACTCTGTTCTCTGTATCTGCATATTTGTTTTTGTTTGGTTTCTTTATTTAGTTTGTCTTATATTCCACATATGAACAAAATCATACAATATTTGTCTTTCTGACTTATTTCACTTAGCATAACACCCCCAAGGTCTATCCATGTTGTTGCAAATGGCAAGATTTCATTCTTTTTATGGCTGAGTAATATTCCATTGTGTGTATATACCACATCAGCTTTATCCAGTCATCTGTTGATGGGCACTTAGATTGTTTCCACATCTTGTTTATTGTAGATAATGCTGCAGTGAACATGGGGTTGGGGCATATATCTTTTCAAGTTAGTATTTTCGTGCTCTTTGGAGAAGTACTCAGGAGTAGAATTGTTGGATCATGTGGTAGTACTATTCTTAATTTTTTGAGGAACCTCCATTCTGTCCTCCACAGTGGCTGCACCAATTTACATTCCCACCAACTACAAGTGTAGGAGGGTTCCCTTTTCTCTACCTCCTCACGAACATTTATTATTTATTTCAGCACCGTTTGTTGAAAGGACTTTCTTTTCCCATTGAGTGGTCTTGGCATCCTTGTTGAAAATAAATGGACCATATGTGTGAGGATCTATTTCTGGACTCTGTTCAGTTCTGTTGGTCTGTATGTGTGTCCTTATGCCAGTACCACAGTCTTTTGATTACTATAGCTTTCTTTGTTGGAAGTTTTACAATTGGGAAGTGTGAGTCCTCCAACTTTGTTCTTTTTCAGAATTGTTTTGGCTTTTGGGATCCCTTAACATTCCAAATGAATTTTAGGATGAGGTTTTCTGTTTCTACAAAAAAAAAAATGCCGTTGGAATTTTGATAGAGGTTATATTAACTCTTGTAGGTCCCTTTGAGTAATATTGTCATCTTAACAAAATGAAGTCTTCTAGTTTATGAACACAGATGTCTTTCCATTTATTTAGGTTTTCTTTAATTTCTTTCAGCAATATTTTATAGTTTTCAGTGTGTAAGTGCTTATAAGTCTTTCATTTTTTAGGTTTAATTTATTCCTAAGTATTTTATTCTTCTGGATGGTCTGCAGATGGAATTTTTTCTTGTTTTTTGGATTGTTCATTGTTACTGTGTAGAAATGCCGCTGTTCTTTTTGTTTGTTTTGGGGGGAGGCAATTAGGTTTATTTACTTATCTTTTTAATGGAGGTACTAGGGATTGAACCCAGGACCTTGTGCGTGCTAAGCATGTGCTCTGCCACTGAGCTGCTGTGCCCTCCACCTGCAACTGATTCTTGTGTGTTGATTTTGTATCCTGGGACTTTGCTGAAATTATTTATTAGCTCTGACAGTTTATGTGGAATCTGTAGAATTTTCTGCGTATAAGACTGTGTCATCTGTGAAAAGAGATAATTTTACTTCTGCCTTTTATTTCTTTTTATCACTTGATTGCTCTGGCTGGAACTTGCGGTGCAGTGTTGGAGGGCAGTGGCGAAAGGGGCGTCTGTGCCTTCTTCCTGATCTCACCGTCGAGTGTGGTGTTTGCT